GCTCCAATGAGCAGAGAACTGCTGCAGGAGACCTGTGCGGATGACTCCCTGGTACCCCCACCCCTGGAGGGGGGACCTGTAGCCCGCTGACGGCTGTACACCAAAGGAGAGTGCATGTAAGGCCACTGAGCTGGGCGTCCAACAATGGTTACAATGACAGATCTGACGTTACGTATCTTTCACATATATTAAAAACAAATCAACCCAATGTTTTAAAGATAAATAAATATAACAAATTAAAAGGAGTTAATTACAAGTTTAAAAAAAAAAAAAAAAAACCCAACCCAACTGCAGCCCTCCCGTCTTGTGCCCAGCTGCGCTGGAGCCATACACGCTCCCTCCTGCTCGGTCCTGCAGGATCCAGTCCCCACACCTCACCCACATAAATTCCAACAACACGGCCGCACTTGGCCATTGCTCCCAGGTCTTCAGTCCTTCTCCTCAGCTGGGCCTGGACACACGGCCCTCTCCTGGTTCCCCAAAACCTCAGGCAGCTCTTCTTCCCCAGCCTCTGCCTCCACCCTAACTGAGAGGTGTTCTTCCCACTCCAGAGATGAGCTCTTCATGCCCACCGATTCCCTGCTGGAGACTGCCTCCCACAGACCCCTCCTGGGCTTTACGCCTGTGCACACACCTCTCCATCACAGGCCATCACATGCCGGTCACACTCAGCATGCTCCAAAACTGAACTCACCTCCCGAGCCACATTCAAATACCCCTTGGTTTCTCCACTAATGCACCCTATCCATCCAATAACTCATCAGTCCTTACCCACCCCACAGCCAGCCCCTAGTCCTGCACTCCTGCCCTCCTGGTGGCTCTCAGGTCCACCTCCCGCTCCCCATCCCTGCGGCCACTACACAGGCAGATGCACACACCTCTCTTTCAGACCAAAGGAACAGGTTCCAAATTGATTTCCCCGTTGCAAATCTTTCTTTCCTCCCAAAATAGCAATATTTGATACACAGTAATCATAAAACTTGTTCCAATAATTTATATATGTAAGTGAAAATCATCCATAATACCACCTTCAGGAGAGCCTCTGCTGTTTCTTATTTTGCCTACTTCCTTCTCCCGCCCCAAAACCTTCATACCATTTTCAAAGCAATCTTCCAAAACACCAGTGCAGAGCTTAAAACCCTTTGCGAGACAACTTAAAGAATAACTGACATGGTTTCTTGGGTACGTCAGGGAGTGGGGGGAGCACTACCTGAGAAGAAGAAAGGATTTAAGAGACATAATAAACATAAGGCGTGAAGGGTGCCTGGGTGGCTCAGTCGGTTGGGCGGCCGACTTCGGCTCAGGTCATTATCTCACGGTTCATGGGTTTGAGCCCCGTGTGGGGCTTTCTGCTGACAGCTAGCTCAGAGCCTGGAACCTGTTTCAGATTCTGTGTCTCCCTCTCTCTCTGACCCTCCCTTGCTCATGCTGTCGCTGTCTCTCTCTCTCTCTCAGAAATAAAAAACATTAAAAAAATAAAAATAAAAAGTTGTGAGACTAGACTAAATCCTGATTCAAACAAACCACTATAAAATCAATTGTTTAACAACTGGGGAAGCTTGAATATGGACTAGGTATTAGATGCTAAGAAGTTTTCTAATTTTTCTAGGCATTAATAATGGCACAGAGATTCCAGAAATACCCTCGGTGTTTGGAGGTAACACGGAGTAGGGAAGAAATGACATGATACCTGTGATTTGCTTTAACATACTTCAAACGACAGAAGGGCCAGTAAAGCAAACTGACAACCATCAGGCCAGGATGAGGAGCACTTGCCGGTTAGTTCATCCACATGCATCTTTGTGCATTTAAAAAATTTATTCTGGAGGCGCCTGGGTCACTCAGTCGGTTAAGTGCCTGGCTCTTCAGCTCAGGTCATGCAGGGTCTCATGGTTCATGGGTTCGAGTCACACATCGAGCTCTGCACTGACAGTGCTTGGGATTCTCTCTCCCTCTCTCTCTCTCTCTCTGCCCCTCCCCCACTCATGTGCTAGGTCTCTCAAAATAAACAAACTTTAGAAAACACATGGTGGTTAACCTTCCTAAGTCAAACTACTTCACGGAACACAGGCAAGGCCACTGTGACCTGGCACCCTCCAGCAACATCTCCCCAGTTCCTCTCAGAACCATGTCTGAGACCAAGGGCAGTTTCCCAAATGCTTTGACCCCAGCAGAAGCTACCATCACCACTCAGAACACACCCCTCTCCCAGATTCCCTTCCCAATTTCACCCCAGCCAGCAGGCATACTCTGCAAACCTTCGGCCTAGCTACAATGCCTGCTTCTCTGCAGTCCACCAAACTCAGCACCCCAACCCCAGGCTGGGCTGCCAACTCCTCCACCTGGCCTACAAGATTTATCCCTAAGGAACACCCTCATTTGCTCGCATAGAGACTATGAGCTCTTTGAAGGCAGAGTCCCAGCCCAGAGTAGGCACACCTAAGTGATTAGGGGGGAGTAGAGCAAAAGGGCAAAACAGCTGAGAGATCTTCAAGTTCAAAGATGGCAGCACGTCAGGGAGGGTGGGGACAGAGGGTTGGGTGGGGATGGCGCAAAGAAGGGCATTACTACCCGACTGCAGCTGAGAAGCCCACACAGAAATAAAAAGGAGCCAGGAAGGCACTCAATGATTTTTGGGCAGGAATAAGAAGCATGTCAGAGAAGCCTCCTTCTCCTAGCATGTTTCCATATGGAGGGCTTCCAGGCTTTTCTCTCCAACCCTTGGATGTTAATGAGCTTCCCTCGGCTGGAATCTGCCTTTTGCAGAGTGAGTGCACTGGGGTCTGTGTCCACAACACATGAAAGACAAGTGGGCAATGTCCAGCCACTATGAGAGGCCTGCGTCCTCCAGGCCTACCTGTCTCACTGAGGGTAAAGGAGCAGCAAAGCCATTTGGCCATTAGTTTAAAGCCACTCTCTTCAATCATTTTAACTGTCAATGAAGTGACATTCTGAGCTCCATATGCCTGACATCTATATGGTTCCTTTATCTAGTTCCTAATTTGGGAGGAAAAAAGGTGGGTTCTTTGTTGGCTCCTCCCAACACACACACACACACACACACACACACACCCCTTGACTTTGGTCAGATTAATTGAGCAGTAACACAGAGTCTGCATGATGTGTATGAAGTATCTTGCGTGTAGTAACCGCGTGCTATCATCGGCTGTTCTGGCGGTTGTGAGTGCAATCGCAGACAAGAAAGTCAGGAGGACGCTGCACAAGGACAGCGTGACCTGCAGTGTGACAGCAGGATGAACAAGGACGGGGAGCTTTGTGAAGAAGAGTGGCTTGGGCGTGGCAACGGGGACTGTGAGGGGTTCTGGGGTCCGAGCTGGAAAGCCGCCTCTTGTAGAAGCTGCCTGAGAGCAGACAGCGGCTACTGGAAGCCATGAGGAGACGTGCCCCTCAGCTTCTGTCCGCCCACACCACCCCCACGGAGGGAGGGACACACACAGGGGGAAGGAGAGAGACAGAAACTGAGCTCTGAGACTGAGAGAAGGCAGAAAGGAGTTATGTGGGTAGTCAAGACAAGGGACAAACCAAACACACAAAGGGGCTCCTGGGAAAACTAGAAGGACTGTAATATGCACTCAGGGTCAGTGCTTCAGACAAAAGGAGACAAAGCCAACAGGCCAAATGTGAACATTCAGCAACAATGAGTATACTAAACGACTGGTGATGGTTATTCTATCTGTATACTTTGTTTCATAATAGGGGCGCCTGGGTGGTTCAGTCCCTTAAGCAGTCGACTTTGGCTCAGGTCATGATCTCATGGTTTATGGGTTCGAGCCCCATGTCGAGCCCCTGCTTCAGATTCTGTGGGTCTCTCTCTCTCTCTCTCTCTCTCTCTCTGTCCCTCCCCTACTTACACTTTGTCTCTCTCTCAAAAATAAATAAACATTAAAAAAACTTTTTAACAAAAAAATAAAAATAAAATATTTCATAATAAAAATTTTTAAAGGACCGAAGTAAGGAAATGGGGAATAAATGAAACCTTTCTGCACGGACCTCCATCTGCCACTGACCCCATCCCACGCCCACCCCCACCCCCTTCGCGGCTTCAACCTGACCCACATAAGCTGTGAAGCTGGGGAGTAAGAGCAGGTCCCTTGGGAAGCAAGAGACTGGCTGCATTCAACACCACTCTGCTGTATCGCACTCAGATCCACCAAGAGCCTTTTTACACCAAACAGAGAACAGCTTTTGATGACAGCATGTTCTAGAAGGAAGCCTGAACAAACGTGCACATTTACAGCTTTGGGAATTCATCCTAGTCTCTGAGAGGATGCTCTGTCAACAGTGTTGTACTTGAAGATGAACGCTTGGGGGGAGCGGAGGGAGAATCCCTCCCATCATCTACAAGGCAGTTGAGATTGTAAGAAAATCTAGGGGACGCCTGGGTGGCTTAATCTGTTGACTGTCCAACTCTTGATTTCGGCTCAGGTCATGATCTCATAGTCATGGGATCTCATCGCGGCTCTAGGCTAACAGTGCAGAACCCACTTGGGATTCTCTCTCCCTCTCCCTCTACACCACCCCCATCCCCACTTGCACTCTCTCGCTCTCAGAACTAAATACTGGAAAGAAAGATTTTGTAAGGAAAAAATCTTGAACTTTATAGAGTAAGGAAGACCACCTCGCCCCAAACAGATGACCACTGGGCTGCAAGCACTTCCTCAGTAACCCTCATGCCCTAGGGCAAGGAGGCTCCAGGGTGGCCACATAGCTGTGGACCTGCGGCTGTCACTAAGGCCACAGTCCTCTGCCCCACTCACCCAGGGGCAAGAGAACAGGAATTCCCGGCCAAGAACTAACTGGACGGGACCCAGGCCACCTGGCTTTCTGCTGGACACTGCAGATTGGAGGTCCATTCTGGGGGTCTCCCCTTGCCATCCTCGACACCCACAGAAACACCCTCCGGCCCCCGGATGACCTCTGCTCCACAGGACCCCTGCCAGGGTGGCTCCTCCCCCACAAGCACTGTCCAGGGCCCATACCTCTGCCAGCTCCCGCTCGCTGACGCTTCCGGTGGCACTACCCTTCTTCCTGGTGCAAGGCTCTCCCACGGCGACCCTGCCGTCCCCTTTGGCATAGCTGTGCACGGTGAGAACTCCCGACTGCCCTTGGGCTCGGCAGGCCAAAGGCTCACCGGTTTCTGAGTCGGAAGAAACAGAATCCCGTGAAGAACCGGAGCCCAGGCTAGAAGATGATTTCTTTTTGGAACCTGAGAAGACAAGCCGTCCTCCTATAGAGGCAGGATTCACAGAAAGATCCAAGGCAGCTGCTTCTTGTTCCTCCTCTTCCTCCTCATCCTCTTCTTCCAGTTTGACATTTTTAAGCTCTTCGAATTTGACTTCCGTGGAGTCAGAATAATCTGAAACATACAGACACGCTGGCCAGAGCCGACTTCCTCTCGCACGTCTGACGTTAGTGAAAAGTAAACTGGTAAAGCGCAAAGGAAGATGCGTGGCAAGTGAGGCCTGGTGTCATATTCTGGCTCTGTCACCTTCAGGGTCACTGCGTGATCTGGGGCCGCTCAGGCCTCCAGTTCCGTGCCGTGGGATGCAAGCCATCTACCACCTAATCTCCAGGTTCTGGGTCTATGGCGGAAGTGTGGCCTGGCATGCAGCAGACACTAAGTGGCAGCTGCCGTTTCCTCAGAGTCTCCTGCAGGAAACGAAGGCCTGCACTCAGCAGAGACCTGGTGACCTCAAGCTAGAAAATTTGAACAGAGGGAGACAGGCCCCAGGGCCGCATCCACAGTGCCATCCGACTGTCCAGACACAAAGGCCACCTTCAGTACAGACACTCCAAGCCTCACCTGAGACTGACGCAAGCCCCTCCCTGCCAAGTCCACCCTCAACAACCTCCTAGTGACTGCTCCGCCACACCTCATTTGAGGACGCCACTTCCTTCCTAAAATACAAGTGGCCCCTCCATCCCGATTGAGCAAACTCTAAAATGGCAATCAGTCCCCACACCAGCTCACTCCTGTTCTCGCCTCATCTCCAGCTAGCACAGCAGTCTTCCCTTCCCAGCCCTATCTTCAAATTACAGGACACCGATGCCAGCTTCCCCAATTACAGGAAAGCTCACGTGCTTCCATACCTGCACACCATCACCCCTGCTACTCCCCTCTAGGTGCCCTTTCCACGTGCCCCCCACTCCCTGCTGCCCCAGAAAGCTCCCACTTCTCTTGTAAGAGCTGGTTCACGGTCACTTCACCAACCTTCAGTGACTCCCTGAGCCCTCACCAGGTATAGAGGGAGGGGGACTCCCCTACCTTCCACCCCGAATGTCCCTACCCAAAGGGCTTCTCTCACACCGATTCACTTCTCACGCTCCACTGACACTCTCCTCAGACAGCTCCCCCCCTACTTTTCCAGATCTGTGACCCTGCAACCAACACAGCATCCAACTCACAACAGAGCACAGCTACACCTGTGGGGAAATTACCATAACCAACGAACCTGGGAAAGGAAGGCCGTCTTCGACTTGCCGCACAGAGTTGTGGGTAGGCCTCACGGGAGCAAGGGCAGCATGGCACTCCGTCATATCGTACTGCCCCGTACTCAACTCCTCCTTGGGGAAGAGCTCGCTCTGACTCACCTCCTGGGGTATTTCAAGACAAACTCGGTGCCTCTTTGTCCCTATACGGTGCTTGGCTAGGCTGCAAGGAGAGCGAACTTTTTAAGGGCCCGCAAGTACATTTACCTACATACATATTCACACACAGCCCAAAATGAATGAATGGCCAGGGCCTGTCCAGTACGCGTCACACTTCAGTCCTACCTCTTATCTGTGGGAGAGACAAGGGACCTCACCTCTCTGAGCCTGTTCCACCCAATGGGAAATAGTTATCACCATCCACCTCAAAGATCTGATGTGAAGCTCAGGGTGCGCAGAGTGCCTGACAGAGCACCTGGCACACAGCAGGGACCCCACGAATGCTCCTTCCTCCTCCCCGTGGCCCAGATTCTCTGGCTTAGACACCAATGGTGCTGGCCAACTTCAATCACACCACCCCCCTGCCCTTGTGAGCTTCATTCCCACTACCATACTCTCCTTTTTTTAAAAAATGCCTCCTATGGGAAGGAGAAAATATGGCTCTTCTGGTTCGGAGGGAGCCATGCTCTCTTATGTGACCTTCGCTCTGGCTAATTACAGGCTCGCATATGGAGGTGATCACTCCTGGGAAACAGCCGTAAGGAAGGGCCTGAATGCCCTTGCTCTGAGGATTCTGGAGCCTTTCCCAAGAAGAATATTCCCTCTGCTGTGGCTCAAACACCCTACATAGAAACAGCCTCTTGGCAGGTTATGGAAGTTGCCAGACACCCTTTCCGCAAACAGCTGGGCCCAGAGGACTGTTGGGTTACCTTCTCTTTAAGTCGCCCTCCTCTCCATCCTCAACCCCTTCCATGTCATCCTCCTCTGGACACTCCTCCTCGCTTCTGGCTCTTGGGGGCAGTTCATTTTCCTTAAGAAACTCGGCGGCTTCTGGCGTAGGCAGAGTATGGTCGATAACTGTGGTGTCCTTCCCTGCTTTCCAAAGTTTGTACCTTTCTGGCTGGAACTTCCTCACAAACACGTCCATGGAGATCTTCACCATGTCCTTTCTACAGGAGCACTATCCCAGGGAACCAGGAGAGCTCCGGTCAACACTCTTTAATGGCTTCCGTGTGACCCCCATACCCCATCTCCCCACTCCAAGTGCAAAAGACACAAGACAATTGAAAGCCAAACTGTTTGCGTTCACAGGCTGAGGCCACATTGTCCTTGCAGAGCCTTTGAGCATGGAGGGAAGCAGGGAAAAAGGCAGAGAGGGATGTGCAGCGCTGGGGTGAGCCCACCTGGGCACGAACTAGGATGCATAAAGAAATGCTGGAGGTGAGGCTCTGCGCTTGGACCTGGAAGGCTCAACATCCACCTTCCCTTTGAGACACATCCAAGCCAGGACCACATCAGTGAGCGTGCTCCCAGTCAAGTGGCCAGCCCTGCTTGCATCCTGACCCTAAGCTTTCCTCAACGGAGAAATCCCAGAGCAGTCAAAGCAAGAAATATCCATGTGTGTGGGTGCAGTTCTCGTGCTCAAATGGACTCTGAGCATGGAAACCTCACTTTACGCATCCCAAGCCTGAACAAATTCTTCTAAATTCTGCATGGATGCAATATACTGGCACTTTGGCACAACCCCGTCAGTTTCTGAATTCCAGCAGCTCAAAGAATGTTCCAACCACCAGCCAGTGCATCTAACAAGAATTTGCTCACCAGACACTTTCAGTCATGGCATTGTGGAAAGAAAGCAAAGAGACTCACCAGCACAGCTTGTTTGCCATACTCAATCCACCGCCGAGTGGCAAAATTGGTGGACTCCGCGCAGTTGAAGCCATGGTTAAAGCCGGCATGGTAACCGTAAGGAAAGGTGATCATGAATTCACCAGCTTCTTGGGTCACCTGGACAAGAGGAGACTTGAACCAGTTGCATCAAATGGCTGATGCCTACAGGACCGGGGCTCTGCGCTCTGCTCCAGCCTCACGGAGTAGTCCAGCCAAGTCATAAAACCACTGGGGTCTTTGTAAGGTGCAAAGCCTGGTCCTATCAGCCCCCAGCACTATAACTGACCATTCCCCCAAGTTAACACTATTTAAGGGGATGTGACTCTCCTCCGGCAACGGAGAGCTCCAGTTCCTCCACCTTTCATATCCATGGATCAAGTACTGCTATGTGGGTTACCTGGTACAGAGGGATGAGCTAGAATAAAGGCCCTCTGTGAAACAGGCAAAAAGGGTGGCCGTCTTCCTTGTAAGCCTAAGGACCGTATGTACAGTCAGCTCACCTTGTCAAAGGGAATTCCATACTTCTTCAGCATTAAAGGAGAAATCAAGGTCATCTTATGGCGGAGAAAAGCCTCACAGCTCTGAGCGCTTCCAGGGAAAAAACCTGTTTCATTGAAAACGGGCACAGGTGAATATACTGCTCCACACCAGCCCCACAACCCTGCAGCCACTAGACTCCTGTGCATCTCATCTGGCTGTCAGGAGGCTAAATCAGCAACGCGATCTCCGCACATCTGTCTAGCTTCAGGCCAATCCTAAGATTCTACGATGAGCCTCTGGGCTCTCTAACGGCTTACCTGGGTAATCACATTCTGTCTGGGAAACTGAGATCACCCAACCCGTCTTGTTCTTATAGAGAGCTTGGAAACTATTTTAAGACCTTCCTCCGTCACTCTGTATCCCTCAATCTTTTGTTAGTAACACATCTACAGCACCGTATACCCAAGCTCTCTTGAAATGGGCCCCGTAGAGATACAAATCTATTAAAGTCCACTTAAAAGAACCAAAGCACAAAAATTTAATTTTAACCTATAGATTTCTGGCAGAAGAACCAGAACCAGTGTGACTGGTATACTCTCCGTGGTCAAATAAGCCCACACTTGATAAAACCAAGGCAAAGACTAAGAATTACTTAGTCCCTTCCTAGGACAAACGGAGGAAGTTTCCAGATTTTTAACTGCTCTGCCAGGGTACCCACTCTGGCAGTCTAGCTCATCACCTACACGAAGGCCTGTTAAAGGACAAGTAAGAAATCTGACTACAGAGAATGGACATTTTAGAGCAATTAGCGTAGCTCACAGAGCCTGAGGGCCTGAGCTGGCACAAGGAAGAGACACAGTACCTTTGGCAAGGCGCTCCAACCGCTTTCCGTGCTCCGGGGGGACAGAGTACCTGCAATTACACAGAGGCACTGGATGCCGAGGAGCGCATGCTATAGCACCCAAGGGGCTCAGCCCCCCTCTCAAAACAGCTCCCAACCACAAAAACTGGAAAGGAGTCTGGAGAAATGACATGTTAGACTTCGGGGAGAGGAGCCCACAAAGTACAAGTGAATTTATTTCTCTAGTCTTCATTCATTTACCGACACTTTTACTGAACATTTACCATGAGTCAGAACTTCTAGTACGCGATCAGCACTGTTCTCCTTTATAATGTTGAAGCAATAAAAAAATTTTTTAAAGGATAGCACGAAAGTGCTCCCGGTGGAGCCTGAAAGGCCTAAGGGGGACACGATGGAGGAGGAATGCGGAAAACAGACCTGATACCAGAGACCTGGCCCTATTAGCTGCTGCTGACCCCATTTTCACATCATCCCCATAACAGCTACATTGATTACCCACACAGGGTAGCATGACACCACAGAAATTGCTCTTCATAAACACACACACACAAAAAAAAATCCTGTAACTATGTAAAATTTTTGCAAAACTGGGGTGCCTGGTGGCTCAGTCAGTTGAGTATCTGACACTTGATTTCGGCTCAGGTCATGATCTCACGGCCATGGGATGGAGCCACACTCAGCGCAGAGCCAGCTTAAGATTCTTTCTCCCTCTGCCCCTCTCCCCTGCTTTCTCTAAATAAAAAAAATAAAATCTTTAAAAACTTTAAAAAATAAAAGTTTTGCAGAACTGTTAAACTTTATATTCTGAAACTCACAGTTAAGTCTATTTTAACCATTATAGTTAATTGTAAAGATTATTCCACAATAACAGAAACTTCCTATCCCAAACAGTTTCACTATGAAACAAAACAGATGGGGAGTGGAGGGAAATGTTGGTCACCCAAAGGGACCTTGGGATCCATCAGGCAGCCTTACCCAGAAGTCTCTGGGGGGGTCCCTCTTCAGATGACCTAAAAGAGTTTATGTAATAACTAGAAAAATCTTCTCTCTACAGGAAAATGAAAATCCAATCTCAGGGAACATAGGAATAAACAGGGGGAAAGCACAAAAACTACTTTTACAGATTCTAGAAGTCTAGCCATCTAAGAAAGGTATTGATGGGACAGCAGTTAGGGAGTCTGCACAGGCTCAGAAGGTCGGCCCCCCCCCCCCCCCCAGACTAGAGACTGGAAAGCCTTTGGAAAAAGGAAAACCTTTGGGAAAAGAAGTGGCTGAAAATGATGGAAAAGGACATAGAGATGCATACGGTTTCCATGACTCCCCATGACCTGGCCCACGGTGTCCCCATCGGCCTCCTCGCTCTTCCATCCTTATCCACAGCACCCAAACCACAACGGACTTCCTCTAGTTCCCAAAGACATTGTGCTCCCTCTCAGCTTAGGGCCTCTGTACGTGTCATTCATTCCAACCACCTAGACACACTTTCCTCAGTCTTCCCTGTGTGAAACCCACCACCGCCCCACCCAGCTAGGCCTCAGCTTGGTGGTCACCTCTTCCAGGGAAGCCTTCTCCAAGTCCCACCCCACCTTTGTGTACCCTTCCACCAGGATCTAGAGTACCCACATCAGAGCTTCTCTCCCACCTTCTCTCTCCTGACCAGTCTCCTATCTGGGTGACAATGCATAGCTATCTGTCTCAGTCACTGCGGTCGAACGCAGGATCTTCACTAAAATGCTGGGATTGAGACATGGATCAGCACAGGGAGAGAGGACAGAACAGATCTTTGTCTCCCCAGCTAGACGGAGGCCATCCTGGAGAGCAGGAAGCGCATACGGAGTAGCCCTGCGTCCCCTCTTGGGTTTAAGCACACACTGCTGCTCACCAAATATTTTTTCCATGAGGAAAAGAAAGCTTTCTATCATCTGAAGGAGCGACTCCAGTCTTGGAAGTCTGCCTCTAAGAAATGCCTCAGGCCTGTTCGGAAAAAGAAATCAGAAAGCAGTGGGAGAGCCTAGGAAAGCCTAGAACAGCCTCTGTGGCTCTCGGTAACTCAGCCATCTTCTCTTTGCGTCGGGTGTTATTCAATGACCAGCCCTCTACGGCCTCACTACTCAGGGAGGGGTTTGAGCACCAGAGCTCTAAGAGCATCTAGTAGCTTCAAAACCCGGGGGGAAATGTCAAATGCCAGTCCCACCCCAGGCCTACGGAACCTGAATGCACATTCTAACAAGACCTCAAGCTGCCACCTCTGCACACTAGAGCTGAGAGGCCCCGCCGCGCCGCCCCGGTGCCAACTGCGACCCGACTTTACCAGGACTTTGGCTCTCCAAAGTGCAGGTAGTTGATGCTGTACAGGTCCATGTCTTCAGTGTGCCAGGCAAAGGAGGTCTTCCACATGCCGAAGTACAGGTATGGGGTGTTCACACCCTCGATGGTGATCCCGCTCTCCTTCTCCACCAAGTCCAGGATGGTTTTCAGCCGCCCAATATTCCACTCGTCGACATGCTGCGAAGTCAAGTCACAGTTGAGGGCAATTACAGTACATACAAGGGGAGGCTCACAGGTGACCTGTCACCTCTAATGACGATGTGGAACAATGTCAAAATTGCCTGGACATGAGGACCACAGCCTCCCCCACTCACTCTTCACAGCCACCACTAGAAGTGACGCCATCAGACCTCCAAAAGGCAAACCCCACTTGGAAAAGAAAAGGGGTATGTGACAGATGAATAAGCAGGGGGCAGGCACCTGTTCTCAACCCCAGGGGGAAGAGTTTGATCTGAAACTAAAGAAACTGAGGCCAAAATAGGAAAGAACTCTTAAATCACTAAAAATACAAAACATGGGAGGGGCGCCCGACTGGCTCAGTTGGTTAAGTGTCCGACTTCGGCTCAGGTCATGATCTCACGGCTCGTGGGTTCGAGCTCTGCGTCAGCCTCTGTGCTGACAGCTAGCTCAAAGCCTGGAGCCTGTTTCCGATTCTGTGTCTCCCTCTCTCTCTGCCCCTTCCCTGCTCACATTGTCTCTCTCTCTCTCTCTCATAAATAAATAAACCATTTAAAAAAAAATTAATAAGCAAAAAAACAAAAACACAGGAATGAATCATCCCAATCTGTGACTGTTTAGCCCCAGGTTCCACCAGGCAGTGTCTTCAGTAAAAAGTCTACAATGTCACCAAAATCCTTTTCTGAAATTTAAATGGTCAGCTAGAAGCCCACCTTTTCTAATTATGTTCTGGATTACTACGTCCTGCTTCTATACCTCCCATCCCAGATCCTTACCTTATCTTTCTGCCATTTAACATCTGTAAGTTTCACTTTCCACCACTCAAAAAATTGTCACTGACAAACGGAATCTTTTCAAACTCCCTCTTTCCAGTAATTTACAAACACATTAAAATTAATCTGGATGATAATCCCTAAAATGCCCCACAGATTTTTTTTATCATCCAAAAACAGTCCCAATTATTCCTTCCTTATATCATATTTAAGGTTGTTCTGTATTCCGAAAAGCACTACACCCCAATCTGACTCAAGTTGTTAAAACAGGTTCTGCTGAAGTATCTTGTTTGAGGGTTCTGAAAACCTAAATGTTTCTCTTCTTAAAAATATGCCCCTTTCACTAAATTAGTCAGTGATCTTTTTTCTGCAGAAACCACTCCCCCATATACTGTGAGCCCACCCTTTCAAGAAGTCATCGAGCTACCACCCAGGCTACCACCCACAGACTAGTCTAACAGCCCTTGCAAAGAACACTAAATCACCCGATTCACATGGAGAGTGGGAGAAATACAATTCAGTCACATGCAAAAATACCCACAATTAAGTGTGCACAGCCTATCAGGCGGTGGTGGGTCATTCTTTTGTTCAAGCTCTCACTCAGCAAGCAGCTTCTGGGTGCCTACTAAGTGCTGGGCAGGTAAAAACGATGTTAAATTACAAACATGCTGCAGAGGCCTTCCCAGAAGTCTCACCTTTTCATAGAGAGTGCCATTCACATCTGCACCATAGATTGGGGGATTGAATGTGAGATTCTTCCAGTATTTCCGTTCAAGCTCTTCAAACTCACTGTAGCGTGGGGTACAGTACCTTTCAAAAGTAAAAAAAAAAAAAAAAAAAAAAAAGTGTTAACCACTTATAAGGACTAAATTCATCAGGCATGATGGAAGGACAAGACACAAGACACAATCCCCTGTTCTAGGGAAAATAGACATTTCAAACGAACAAGACATAAACTTGGCCTTCACGGTTCCAATACACAGTAACCTCCTCAACATCCCTTCCATAAGCTCCGGGCCTGAGGAAGGTAACATATATGAAGATGTTAAGCGCATCTTCCCTGAGAAGCAGAACACCCTCAACTTTTTCAAGAGACCACTGAAAACTACATCCTGCCAGAATCAGGAGTGGCCCGGCCACCCAGGGAGAAAGCAAGCAAATCCCTATACATCCACAGACAACCAGACCTGCCAGCATGTGGAGAGCTGACATTCTAGAACAGTACTACGCTCTGTAAAGGAAGTGGCTCCAAGGGAGCTCATCTGCATTGTCATTGCTACGTCCCCATTACGCAGTGCCTAACTCAACAAATTATCACGCCTAAAAACAAAGTATTTCAATTAAAAAAATTTTTATTTTTTTAAATGTTTTATTTATTTCTGAGAGAGAGAGAAAGAGAGAGAGAGCAAGCGTGAACAGAGGAGGCTCAGAGAGAGGGAGACACAGAATCTGAAATAGGCTCCAGGCTCTGAGCTAGCTGTCAGCACAGAGCCCAACGCAGGGCTTGAACCCAAGAACCATTAGATCATGACCTGAGCCAAAGCTGGACGCTTAACCAACTGAGCCACCCAGGCACCCCAAGAAAGGTATTTTTAAAAAGATATTTTTATATATGTACATATACATATATATAGCGCATGCGCGCGCTCTTTCTCTCTCTCTCTATATATACACAGCTGTCTATATCTATCTCTCTACATAAAGACATTAAAAATATCTATACTCGGGGCGCCTGGGTGGCTTAGTCGGTTGAGCATCCGACTTTCGCTTAGGTCGTGATCTCACAGTTCGTGGGTTCGAGCCCCGTGTCGGGCTCTGTGCTGACTACCAGCTCAGAGCCTGGAGCCTGTTTCAGTCTGTGACTCCCTCTCTCTCTGACCCTCCCCTGCTCACGCTGTCTCTCTCTCTCTCTCTTAGAAATGAATAAAACATTTAAAAAAAATTAAAAAAAAAAAAAATCTATACTCTTCAGCTCAATTATCACATACTGAGAATTTACTCCAAAGAAAATCTTTTAAAAAATTCAAAACACTTAAAAATTATTACATAGCAATTTTAAAAAGAATAAGGTGTAAATTGAATAGATATTTGAAAATGAACATTACAACTCAAATGGCAAAGAAATATTATGAATGGATAAACAGTAGAAGCAAAGACCCACAACAAACTGTGGAGACAATGACCTTGGTGGGAAAACCATCTTACTTTAAATGCAGCCTTACATTTTCAGGTCCACCTATTGAATAATACAGTTTAGGACTCTTAAATTCCCTCTGAAATAGAAGTAACTCTCCCACCTCCAACTGATCTGCTTTATAAATTTAGATTTTTACCTGCTGGGTTTTCTTAAAGCTGGCCGATCAAGCAGATAAGAAATCAAGGGCAAGAATTTGTTGCCTTTCAGATAGAGGGGAAAAAAGGGGCCTGCTAATTTAAAAAGAAAAGAGGTATCCTGGAAGACCTACCATTTTGAGAAGAGAAACTGGATACGAGAGGCTGAGGCCTCTGGTGGAGCGCTATAGGAGCCTGAAAGCTGAGGGCCCTGGCCCCAGGGCGTGGCTAGAAACCAGACAGAAAGGACAGCACAGCCTTTCCTGTGCAGAGCATGTCACTCTTCTTCAACAGGCTCTAACATACTCACTCGTTAGACAGCAGGTGGGTCAGCAATACAGGTGTTTTTAAAAGTTAAGCTGCCAGGGCACTGCCAGGGCTCAATCGGTTGAATGACCTACTTCAGGTCAGGTCATGATCTTGCAGTTCATGGGTTGAAGCCCGGCATCAGGCTCTGTGCTGACAACTCAGATTCTGTCTCCCTCTCTCTGCCCCTCCCCTGCTCACACATACACTCCCCCTCTCTCTCAAAAAAAAAATAAATAAACATAAAAAAAAATTTTTAAAGGGTTAGGCTGTATGGGCGCCTGGGTGGCTCAGTGGATTAAACATCAGCTCAATGGATTAAACATCCGACTTCGGCTCAGGTCATGATCTCACGGTTTGTGGGTACGAGCCCCGCGTCAGGCTCTGTGCTTACAGCTAGCTCAAGAGCCTGGAGCCTGTTTCGGACTCTGTGTCTCCCTCTCTCTCTGACCCTTCCCTGCTCACACTGCCTCTCTCTCTCTCTCAAAAATAAATTTTAAAAAACATTTAAAAAAAAAATTTTTTTTTAAGTTAAGCTGTCAATAAAACTGGAAAGCCACATTTCGAATTGTGGTAAGTCAAAGGAAAAGAAGGCAAAGCACAGAAACAGAACAAGATCTGATGCGAGACAGAGGAATGAATAAAGCACACGAAGGGACGCCCCCAGGAGCGTGAAGACTGGCCAGCTACAGATCTAGCTCTGGGCTCATACACAGCGAGACAAAATATAATGTCTGACTGGCTGAAGTCATAACATGCACAGATCAAAAGGGCTCAGGAATAAAAGCAAGAGTAAAGGGAAGGAATCCCTTGTGGACACTCAAAAATTAAGGAATAACATGGGAAAGGAAAAAGTCCGAGAGAGAAGATTAAGAAGGAACAGTCAGTGCTCAGTGAGGGAACCACACAATTCATCCTCTATAAATGGGAGGTCAAATGAAGCTCAATATTATAAACAGAAAACAACTAAAAACAGCAGGCTAAACAAAGACGTTTCTAACAGAGATAAGAATGTATGCAGGATAAAGCACGGAGATAGAAAACAGCGACCAGCTCAGAAGCTTAGTCACATTTTGTCCTGTCAAGATGCTGGACCGGTAGAGAGGAATCTGAGCACAATAAAAGACAGAAGAACCCCGAACCCCGAAGAGAATCAACTGCTGAGGCCGCTTTTCAATAAGCAGGTGTTATCAATACATCGGGCAAAAACTCCTTTTGAACCAACTCCAACGTTCCCCTTTGCAACTCTGCAACTTACCAGGGTCAGAAAATGATTCTGCTTCTGATGGAAAAAGAATGGGATTACTTTAGGCAAAAATACGGTACGGATGCGTTTAGACTGTGACACAGTACTGAGAGTACGAATGCTTCCAAAAAAGAGCAGAAAGGGAGACAGAGGCTAGAGCTGAGAAAAGAGTTCTTCAGGCTCACGACAGCAGTCTTAGCAGACAGCTAAGAAGGTGAGACCTGAGCTCCTAGGTGGGAAGGAATGTGTTTTCACTCACTTATCACTATTGGCTATCTTGCGGAACTCTCGAACAGTCATGGCTTTCTTCTGTATGTTGTACTGAGTGAAGAGGCCAGACTGCCCAGTCACCAGCTGTTGGATGGGGGCAGGAATGACCAGATCATCAATATCATCATAGGACGCTCGAGGCTTCCACTCCTTTGGAGGTACAACCTGTAGGGAACACAGGAAACAAAGAGATCAGAAATGGGGCAAGCGGCTCATAGTCCGGAATGTGGGTAGGATGCTATCCAACCAGCCAACTTTACTACAAAGTGACTGATTTAACCACACTCACCCCAACAGAGCAAGTCACACTGTTGTGCTAACCCTGATTCAGTTCAGCTACCAACTAGCCGCCTAGTTGCAACGACCAAAGATGAGTAATACTCATTCTCAGCTCAGTATCTCATCTGGGCACCGAGAGAGGAGACTGAAGACTTGATTCTCTTAATCTGACGGAAGTGCGCAAGAGAAGCCAGCTGCTATCAGAGTGCTGGATGAGACTGAAGTGAGGACGAGAGAAGGTGGACACGGCATATAAGCCCTCAAGTGCAAACACTAAAGCACCCATCTCCACCAAGGGGATCAGAGCACCACAGCAGCTGGCCCAGGAGGCAAGCTCTTTACCTCCCTTTAAAAAAGACTCCAAAAAAAGACTCCAAGCTCCCCTCCTACCTAAAAGGTGTTTCATATGTTAACAAAAGGCATTAACTTGCAAATAGGAAGTATATACTCCACACCCTGCCTTTAGGAAAGACTTCTGCTGCCCCTCACAAAGCCCTGTGGAACAATCCCACCCACCCTCACCTTGGCCAGCCCAGCCCGGTGAGCTCCTTGGGATTCAATGTAAGCCATGTATCGACTGAAGTTGCGGAACTCCTCCATGGTGGGGTAAAAAGTCATTATCCGAGCACTGGGATTCAGAGTTTCAGATTCAGAAGCCATTTTCCCTCCTTTTTGAGGTCACTCTGGTCTGACAGGAATCTGAAGAAATACATTAAGAACATAAAATCATATAAAATGTAATTAGAGGGGCACCTGGGTGGCTTAGTCGGTTAAGCGTCCGACTTTCGCTTGGGTCATGATCTCGCGGTTCGTGGGTTCGAGCCCCGCGTCGGGCTCTGTGCTGACTGCCAGCTCAGAGCCTGGAGCCTGTTTCAGTGACTCCCTCTCTCTCTGACCCTCCCCTGCTCACGCTGTCTCTCTCTCTCTCTCCTAGAAATAAAAACATTAAAAAAAATAAAATAAAATAAAATAAAATGTAATTAGAGTTAAATGCTGGGAACGTCAAGGAGGATGGGCTAAATAGGTGATGGGAATTAAGGAAGGCACTTGTTGGGATGAGCATTGGATGGTGTAGGTGAATTCTACACCTGAAACTAATATTACACTGTATATAAAATAACTGGAATTTAAATAGAACTTGAAAAAAATGCTGGGAATGTCAGTGCTGAAACAGTAAAAGATGTAGAAGTTCTGAAGAAGTATTACGACCTCACACCTAGAATCTGCCTCTACATAGGTTATTTAAATGAACAAGAAGACGGACAGAAAAGTTTCTATTTAAAAGAATTGGATATACTAGGGCACCTGGGTGGCTCAGTCGGCTAAGCATCTGACTCTCATCTCAGGTCATGATCTCACAGTTCATGAGTTCTGAGCCCTGCATCGGGCTCTGCACTTAGCAATACCTGCTTGGGATTCTGATTCTCTCTCTCTCTGTGCCACTCCCTTGTGCTTTCTCTATCTCTCAAAATAAATAAATAAAAACTTATTTTTTAATTAAAATATTAAAAATTTTAAAATAAAACATTAAAAATAAAATAAAGCCGACTTCGGCTCAGGTCATGATCTCACAGTTCATGGGTTCAAGCCCCGCGTCGGGCTCTGTGCTGACAGCTAGCTAGCTAGCTCGGAGCCTGGAGCCTGCTTCAGATTCTGTGTATCCCTCTCTCTCTGACCCTCCCCTGCTCATGCTGTCTCTCTCTCTCTCTGACCCTCCCCTGCTCATGCTGTCTCTCTCTCTCTCACAAATAAATAAAAACATTAAAAATTAAAAAAAAAAAAGAATCAGATGTATCAAAATTGTATGTATTCAAATCTCACTTAAATGGAGACATTGTTTCAGCTAAACTGTTACTAGAGCGTTGATCGTATCTAACAATACTATTGCTGCCCTGCCCCTATTTTAGTTTTATCTTTTCAAGTTGCTCCCTTATTCACCTTTGATAACTGCTTTCGGGTATATTAAACAATGTAGTACAACCAAATTTAAAAAACAACCTACGGGCTCCCTTTTAGGGCTCCCTTTTAGAGCACGGCTTAAAGCCCTATCTATTCTAGATTCCTAAAGACAGTTACTTGGCTACAAGATTACAAAGTTTAAGACGTAAAAAGTACACTGTTATTAGTATTTAAAACCGTAAAGTGAAATTGTTCTCATATCTAAACCAAAATGTAATTTCAGCAGTATTACATGAGATCAAGCAAGAAGACTAGTCCAAGTGTACCGTACCCAGAATTCAAAGGACAAAATTTAAATGGGCAATAAACTAGCAATACAGGGCAAACTTCAAACTGACTGGAAAAGGTCAAATATTGTGTTTCTAGAAGAGGCCTTCAACTAAGTGGGTGCATCTCCATTGCCTGATAACACAATAGACTATTCCAGCTGAATTAGAACCAAGCATACTAGATAAAAGGGGCCACTTTAGAAGCAAAAACATTTCCCTCCTCCATTCCCCCAATATGGGCCCCAAAGCCATGGCAGTTCAGCTTCAAGAGTTCCCCAGAGAGGAGAGCTCAGAAGGGAAATCTGTCTCCAATCGACCAGCAACCTAGTAACAGACTAGGAAGACAGCATGGGCACAGACCTACCTAAGGTAGGAGAGAATGAGCCACTACCCACATCTCTCAAGCTTCCATTCACCAAAAATAAAGTGTGTTCTTGGCCAGGAGCTTTTCCCGCACCTCACCAAAACTTTACACGGCAGGTTTACGTTTATCCTCCTTTTAAATACCAGGAAATACCCCCACAGTCCTGCAACGCACTCCCAGCACTCCTTCCACTACCCGATGCTGCCTACATCGTAACTTCCACCTAGACTAAAGCCATCTGCAAGGGCAGATGCAAGGGTGGAGGAACCTCTGAAGTTTAATCAATGTCCAGGACCCTCTTTTTTAAAACTGCAAAATATCTTCAACAAATCTGACAACAATATACAATCCTGTGAACGCAGTGTGAGGCCCCGTCACCTGGGCCTTGGAAGCCACTCATGGGGCTTCACCTGCCTCTGGACTTAGTCATCTTTGTTATGCCTACAACCTAGAACAATGCACGACACAGAGTAGGCACTTGGTAACTACTGAATAACTGATTTCCTCACCCCCACTCCAGTAGCTCACTCCCTTTCTTCAACCCTAAGATTCCCTTCCCCCCATCTATTCCCTGGGGAAAGCTCTGGTTCCTTGACTCCTTCATTTCCCCCATCCAGCAACAAAGCCTAGTAGTTTCAGAGCACCGGCTCCGGAATCAAAACAACTCTGAGTACAGATCCGGTCTCTGCTATTTATTAGCTGTGTGACCTTGACTGTGTGAGTTGTCCAAGTCTCAGTTTCCCCACCTGTAAAATGGGGATCCCAACCTTCTTGCCCAGCAGGGTTGCTGTGATTAACTCAGATGATGCAAGCGAAACGCTAAGCACTAGGCCCTGTACCTAATAACTCAATAAAGGTCGCTGTTGCTAACAACCGCCTCTAACTCCCGCCCCCTCCCCTCACGGCCGCCCCCGCGGGTACCACTCCCAAGGTAGCCCCCGCTCCCAAGGTCCCCGATCCTCACCGCGTAGACGGCCAGCCCCTCCCGGCCCCGCCGCCTAGGCGAGTGAGGCCCGGCCGCAGGAAGAAGAAAATAAGGCCTAGTACACCCGCCTCCCTTCCCGACGTGCATTGGCCATAAGAGATTAGAAAGGACCAATCTTATGACCCATATTAGAAGCTCCTGTTCCCATTGGCCAAGAACCATGCCTATCACTCACCGCTGACGGCAACCCCGCCCCTCCCCCACCGGAGCTCACGATCACGGCTACGGGCAGCAACAAATCCAAAGGATTCCAAAACCCTGTAGTTCTTACCTAGAGCCCACCGCCCCGGAAGGGCTAAGGCTGGGCTCCTGCTGTCGCCACTAGCTCTATCTACTGCTTTTTCAGCCGGCGAAGGGTGAAGCTCCGCCTCCTCAAGAAAGAACGGCCTCTGCGCAGCCGTACAGGGTCAACCAATCTGACGGCCGCTATCACTCCTCAACCAGCCAATGAGCACGCGCTGCAGTCGCCCAAAGTCGGGGCGTATCAATCTGCTCAGCCTATGAGCGCAGGGTCGGGCTGTTGCCAGGAGGAAAAGCTGTACCACTCGGGACTGCGGCCACTGAGCGTCTTGGCTGGATTACGGGGCTGGCCAATCATAGGCGGGCTTCTGACCGACCAGAGCTAATCAGAATTGAAAGAGGCGAGTGCCTGGAAATAGGATGGGGGCGAGGGTAGAGGCGATGAGATTATTGTAGGATGTTACTAACGAAAGGGTGGGGCAGAGTCTTTTTAGGGTGAGACCCTTGCCTAAGGTAGAAGTGCCCTGGGAGCCCTTAGAGCCAGCTTCCGAGATCAAGCAATTTCTGATAGGGTGACCAACTTGTCTCATTTTGCCAGAGACTGCCTTGGTTTCTAAAGCTGAAAGTCCCGTATCCTGGGGAGCCCCTCACCCGCCGGCAAACCGAGACATTTCCTGAAGGGAGCAGTTCCTGAAAGGGAAAGAGCTCTGAGGTGGGATGTCCTTAGGGTTATTAAAAAGCAGTTCTTCGATGAGCAGGGATTTGGGGGTCATTAAGAGCAGCTCTTGGGGCGAGGGAGAAGATCCAGGGAATCATTAGACGCACTTCTGGAGAGTTGAGGGGGTGCCTAGAAGTCATTAGGAGCTGTTCCTAAGGGGTACTTAGTCGCCCTAAGGACGTCCATATTACCACGGATGATGGGCAAGGAAGCCTCCATACAGGACCCTCTGATACGTCCAGTAGAAAAGTAGAATATTCAACCCGAATCAAAAAATGTGCAAAATTACCCATAGATGAGTTAGGGTGTGGTGCACTCTAAAGAGCTGTGGAGTCAGATCTGTGTTCAAAATCAATCACTCCTCTGAGCCTGAGTTTTCCCATCGGAAAATGGAGACAATAATACCTGCCTTGCGGGATTATTGTGAAATGAGGGGTAATATATGCTGACAAAATGGATGCTATTACCTACGTGGCATGGAGGTAGATCAATCGTGATTTATTCCCCTTGGACTGGGTACATGTGTCCCAAGAAAGGGGGCAGGGGGGAGAGTTCTGTTTCAAAAAAGACCAGGGAATGATCGTTGGTGGTTAGGTAGGCAACCAATAGCCTTTCACAATTATGAAGTTGTTCTCTCTTGACCTAGTAAGAGAATATATTGGATAATAGATTATATGGGGTAGCTCACAAAATTAAGAGCCTGAAGAATCCAACCTAGTAAAGAAAACCACCCCAAACCATGCCAAAGAATGCACCTACCGCTCTCCTTGCTGTCGTTCTTGCTGCTGCCACCTTGCTTTACCAACTCCACTAAGCTGGGCATAGATACAGTTGCTAGTACTGCTGTCACCACCAACTACTTCATGAATTTTATCTTGCTACAATTCCCACCGCTACCAAAGAGGATTTTGTATTGCTAGATTCCAATTGGTGCGCCCTGGTGAAAGTTGAAGCCTTCGGGCTCTCTTGACATCCTCCCATTTCTCTGACCAGTTTACCTGTCACCTTTTTAAGCTCATCTTTCCTTTCCCACCCCTTAAATGTTGATATTTACAGCAAAACTAATCATGATGAAAGAATTCAAAGGTGAGGTTACCTTTGGGTGGGGGGCAGGCAATGATGGGGGAGTAATGTAAACAATGATTCTGGAAGGGGAAAAAAAAGAATGCTTCTGGAGTGTTAGTAAAGTTTGTTGTTATTGAGTTTCTAATTTTTTTCTTTCTTTTTTTTGGAGGGGTAACATTCTATTTCTTGATCTGGGTGATGGTTATTACAGTAGTGTGTTCACATTTTAAAATGTCATCGAGCTGTACACTTATAAGTTGTCCATAACATTCAGTATACATGATACCTTAATTTTTTTAATTAGAAAATTTTTTTATAGTAAAAGTATTTCTTTTTTTAATTTTTTTTTTTTTCTAGGAGAGAGAGAGAGAGACAGCGTGGGCAGGGGAGGGTCAGAGAGAGAGGGAGTCACAGACTCTGAAACAGGCTCCAGGCTCTGAGCTGGCAGTCAGCACAGAGCCCGACGCGGGGCTCAAACCCACGAACCGCGAGATCATGACCCAAGCGAAAGTCGGACGCTTAACCGACTAAGCCACCCAGGCGCCCCTAGAAAATTATTTTTTAATTTAAAAACTTTCAAGAACTAAAAATATATTGATGTTCTCATGGCTCTCTGTCTTTTGCCTTCTCCTCTCATTCTCCAAACTCCTTAGGTGTTTCCGGTTTCACGACTCACTAACAGTATGACCTGGGGCAAGTTACTTCATTTCTCTAATCTTCAATTATAACTAAAATTGGAACGGTACTTCCCTTTTTTGGTACTTCCCTTTCTTCCAGTGACAACTGAATGAGATAATGCACATAAGCACTTAGTAGTCAAACTGGCATGTATTAAGTGCTCTGTAAATGTTAGCTGTGGAATCGATGATGATGGAGGTGGTAATAATAAGCTCTTAGCATAAAGCCTGAAACAAGAATTCAAAACACTTAAACTCTCAGGCTTCACTCCTCTGCACATTGATGACACCTATTCTGTACTCCAGTGCGGTCTTCTCCCCTGTCTTCAGATCCAAATTTCCTCCTATCTCTGGACCCCTAACCCTGAATTCCTACAGGTACCTAAAAATTATTTAGGTACATGCCCAATAAAGAACTAACCTATTTGCCCCACAAATGAGCTCTACCTCCTAGGTTTTCTGTCTCAGTTAGTGGGGGCAGTCCTCCACCCAACCACCTAAGCCTATCTAACTAGGGATTCCTTGATGGGGTCCATTACTTCACCCTGTACAGAGTTCCATAAACAAGTGTTCTACAAATGCCTGGATTTATTTACATCCCCATCTTCCTCCACTAGACAAAAATCTCTCAAGAGTATCGCTTCAGTCTTACCGATATTGTCATTTAGTCATGTGTTCCATTACCAGAAATAGAAAACCCTAGCAACAAGGTCTTAAATAAATATAAGGTTTTTTCTCTGATGTATAATAAGTCTGACTTATTGACATTGGCTCATTGCTCAACCAAGTCGCCAAAGAGACAGGCTCATTCTATCTTTCTCCACACTTCACAACCTGGCTTTGGCCCTTAGAGGGGTGCACCTCATGGTTGTAAGGTGACTGCTGAAACTCCAGACATCCCATCTGCATTCATGGGAATAAGGAGGAAAGGAATGGTATCAGCAGCAACTACTGCTCTTATCAGACTCAGCAAAAAGTCTCCTAGAATGGGGCACTGGCTAGCTCAGTTGGTGGAGATCTGACTCTTGATTTTGATCTTGGTGGTGAATTTGAGCCCCATGTTGGGTGTAGAGATTACTTTTAAAAAATTAAAAATAAAGAGTGGCTGGATGGCTCTGTCAGTTAAACATCTAACATCTGCTCAGGTCATGATCTCACCATTGGTAAGTTTGAGCCTAGCATCCGGCTCTCTGCTGTCAATGCAGAGCCTGCTTTGGATCCTCTGTCTCCCTCTCTCTCTGCCCCTCCTCCTCACTCTCTCTCTATCATAAATAAATAAAAAAATTTTTAAACGAAATCAAAAATAAACTAAAAGTCTAGTAGAAGGTGACTACCTGCTGTAATGAGTGGAACAGAACTTTACCTGCCCTCATCCAGTGAGGGAGACAGACATGAAACAGGTGCTCACATAAAAAAATAAAATCACAGAAGTTGTGCTTACTATGAAGGCAAAAAAACAGGGGTGAACAACTTTCACTTTTAAGGGTGACTTGCTAGCAATGGCAGTGGGATCTGAACATTAAAGTTCATCTTTATAGCATAAAGTTTATGCCATGCTTCTAGCTCAAAGATTCTTCCCTGGAGCTTTACTTTATCACTTTATCCAGCACTCAGCATGGTGCCCAACACATAGTAAGCATTACATCAGTAATGATAATGGCAATATTATTAGCATTAAAGGTTAACTATAGGGGTGTCTGGCTGCCTCAGCTGGTGGAGTATGCAAGTCTGGATCTCCAAGATGTGAGTTCGAGCCCTACATTGAGTATAGACTTTAATTTTTTTATTTTTGTTTATTTTTGAGAGAGAGAGAGATGTAGTGTGAGAGGAGAAGGAGCAGAGAAAGGGAGACACGGAATCTGAAGCAGGCTCCAGGCTCCAAGGTGCCAGCACAGAGCCCAATGCAGGGCTTAAAGTCACAAATGGTGAGATCATGACCTGAGATGAAGTCAGACACCCAACCAACTGAGCCACCCAGGAGCCCCTAGACTTTTTTTTAAAAAGTTAACCACATTTATTGAGCGCTTATTATGTTCCAGACAGTATGCTAAATGCTTTATATACACATAAATTGTTTACATTGCCATTGACATTGTTCTTTTTGTAAAAGCAACTTTATTGGGGCACTTGGGTCCAACTCTTGATTTCGGCTCAGGTCATGATTTCATGATTTCGAGCCCTGAGCCCTGCATCGGGGTCTGCACTGACAGTATGGAGCTTGTTTGGGATTATCTCCCTCTGTCTCTGCCCCTTCTCTGTTTGTGCTCACTGTCTCTCAAAATAAATAAATATACTTTTAAAAATAAAGAAATAATAAAAACAAATTTTTAATGTTTATTTATTTTTGAGAGAGAGAGAGAGCAAGAGCAGGGAAGGGGCAGAGAGAGAGGGAGACAGAGGATCTAAAGTGGACTCTGTGCTGACAGCAGAAATCCCTACATGGGGCTTGAACCCACAAACTGTGAGATCATGACCTGAGCCTAAGTCGGACGCTTAGCCGACTGAGCCACCCAGGTGCCCCTAATTTAATTTTTTCTTAATTTTAGAGAGCCCACGCAAGTGAGGGAGAGGGGCAGCGGGAAAGAGAAAGAGAATTTTGAGCAGGCTCCACACTCAGCATACAGCCCAAAGCAAGGCTTGATCCTACAACCCTTGGATCAGGACATGAGCTG